TTCGAGTAAGATGGAAAAATTCAACAGGCAGTTGGGAACCGCTGGCCAAAGGCCAGACCACGATCGCTTTTCTAGATTTCGCGTGGAACGGAATTTCTTCGTGCGCGATGAAATGATATATATGGGTCGGAAAAATATCGTAAATAAATCGTCGCAGCGATGTCTTTTTTAATTTCGAACGGACAAAATTTCCAAGGTTATTCCACGAACGACCGTTGGTGAATCGAAATTCAAAGTTATTCAGTGTTAAGTAACCAGCCGCGGCGATACGATCAACGCGATAGGATTCTCGTGAATTCTCAAGGAATGACCGGGATTATCGGAATCCGTGTCCTGAAATTCAGTCGAATTTCAAGTATACAGGCGAACACACGCACAAATAAAATGGAATAGGTTTGTTTATTCGGTAATCGCAACGTTTATTTTTCAACGCGTCCTATTCGAATTCTCTTTTTCCCAGATTGCGATCATTCGTAGAGACTATATTCTATTATCGTTAGTCACATTCGATAATGTAATTCTGTCGCCTTATCGTTGTTAAGTGAAAAACCGAGCAAAAAGTTACAAGATACAACAACGAGACATTTATTTAAACAGTTTTGATACTTTCTGTTATAATTAATTTATAACATTGACACCAAACTTATCTCTGAAAATCGAGATACGTAAATTCAACTTTATATTATTGTTCGAATCAAAGAGCAAAGATATTCGATCGATCGAAAATATGCGCTATCGAATTGAGCGTGATATAAATTACGTCAGAAACGAACGTAGTTCTGTTTAATCGAAGCAAATCGATAGATCGATGTTTATTCAACAATAACGAGTGGAATTTTCTTGTGTGACGACGTTTCGCGTTGAAATTCCATTAAAATTAACGCGGATAAAAGTTCCGTCGATTTACGAAACTCGAGCTCGTATCGTTTCATTTCGTTTGATCGCTACTAGTGCTGCTTCGCCATTAATTCAAACCACGTATCGTTATCCACGCATCGGTGCTTCGTAACGAGCATTCAATTTTTTTTCGCTATCTTTATTCGCAGTATAATCAGATCAATCGACGAAGAAATGTATTTTTTTTTTCCATCTTATTTTATCCAAGAAAGAAGAGAAGGAAAATTGATCGAATGTTTTCGAATGTTTGACATTATCAAACGATCGAATACACGTTATAATAGAAAAAAAAAAATGTAAGCATGTAATTAAAAACGAAAGACGTGCACGTATTCGTATTCGTTGTCCTGACACGGATAAAACAAGTTTCGTCACGCGAAACCGCACAACTCGATAACGACTTATGGTTTTAAATACGTTACGCCTCACGATCGGTACACGTGATTCACGAATAGACAGAAGCCAGTGAAATAATAAATCTTGCGGTCATCCATGTCGATTCTTTTGTCGATCCTTAGAAAGACGTTCGCATTGGATAACGAAATCGAACAAATAATTCGCTATTTTCTTTGTAAAAAAAAAAATTAGACAGAAAATACGTGACGTCATTGTCTTTTGTGATTTCATATTTCATAACGCGATCATATTGTCCTTCAAACTGATGATAACTCGAATGGTAAAGTGAAATTTTACTCGCGAAGAAAAAAAATAGAACGAGCAGATTTAATTTTCGCTTTGATTATACATAAGTCTGATTCGATCTGATAGATCGGATTGTCTCGATTGTCTCGAAAAGAGTCATAGATATAGAGATGGATCAGTTAACCGTGTTTGAAACAATTTAACCCAATTATCGCCGATCTCTTTAATCGAATCAAATTGGAACGAAGGAAAATCGAACGAATCGAACGAGAGGGAAAAAACGACAATCGTTAAGAGGATCGAAACGATTTCTTCGTCGTCGTTTCACGTTTCACGTTCCTTTGCATTTTGCGGTAAAGAAGGCAAACGAAACAAAAGATAGGAAAGAATTGGATCGGAAATGTCTGTTGCGTCCGTTCTGAACGGCAAAATCGATGTCGGCGAAACAAGTTAGTTTGGTTACTGGGTCGCTCGCTATTGTGCGTCAATGCCTGTAACCGTTTCAACTACGAGTAAATGTTACTCGTTAGACACCGTCCGGGTTATGATATACTGTAACCTTTTTTTTTTTTCGATCGATTAACGTTTCAATCAATCGTTTACGTATCATTACTGGTTATACCGGTAGTAAAATAAAATCGTATTGAAAATAAGATAGACTAAACAACTTTAACTGAAAAAAAAATTTCTTACACAATTTCGATATATCATATTGTCGATTTATATATTGCTATTACGACCGTTTTTTTTATCGTAGTTATAATCGATATTCAATGTCATTCTGCTTTCTTCGATTCTATCTATGAAAAACACGATTGATCGTCGCACGAATGTCATAGAACCGGTATAACTTGGAAGGCAAAAAATCGTACTCGTTTCATGCATGATTGATTCGTTTAAAATCGTTCGAAAATCCCGCGCTCGAATTGATCTCTCATCCGGTCGTTGTTTCTAATTTAGACGAAGCGCGAGTATTCTCAAGGACGGACCGTTTAACCGTTGCTCGAGTTACTCTACCGGCAACTATCGGCCACTGGATTTATGTATTATCAAAGAACAAAGAAAGAGAAAAAAATATACGTGTCAAATAGAAAAAGGAGAAAAAAAGAAGTGAAAGAAATAACTGGAAATTTTGAATGGAATTGGGCAAAAAAAACTTGAGATATTTGATCAGGAATGGAATAAATAATCGATAGAGAAGAAGGGGAGAAGGAAGAAAAAAAATAGAGCGATGATACGAAGAAACAAAATGTCACAAAAGTGCGATGGAACGCGCATACGTATACGATGACGACGAGAAAATTTGAAAGACTTACCATATAAAGTCCTTGCAATGACTACAGAAGGTTGGTTGCTTAAAGAAACGAGGCATGAAACTGTGATTCTTGACCACGTAGACATTCTTTTTCTTCAGGGCTCCTTTTCGTCCTCGAATTTTCTTAGCGAATGCGGTGTTTGCATCGCCGGGCCCGAGGGAATCCTCGCACGTGTTGTTTGCTTCTTGATCGTCCGCCATCGCGCGCTCCACTTGTCGATCTTGCTACTGACCGATCAGGGTGAAATTCCGTGCGATACTTTGCTTCTATCCTTCTGTTGATTCTTCTCCAGTCAGTCGAAAGATGCACGCGCGTACACGAATCCGACCCTTGATAAAGGGGAAAAGCGAGCGATGTCCGAGCGAGCCAATCGCGATGCGCTCGGAAACGCTCGGAAACGAAAAAGGAAACGTGAGGAAAAGGTGACGGAAAAGAAAGAAAAGAAATAGAGATGAGGAAAGAGAAAAATCCGTTTGTCACGCGTCTGTCGAAACACTCTCAACGACGACGTGTCGTTTTTAGTATGTGTACGTGTGTGATGTGTGTATATGTATGGACGTATGTGTGAATATGGTGTGTGTGTGTGTGTACTCGGTCGACGTGCAATAGGTAATGCACTTGTCACGGTAACTCGTGTCGAGACCGACGGCCACCGACTCTGCTGCCCTCGCCGCTCGCTGCCAACGCCACCGCCGCCACCACCTCTACCATCACCACCACCACCTTCGCCTCCTCCCACCATCGCCACCACCCCGTTTTCCATGCCTGCATCTCACATTCCCGCTTCACCCTTCCCTTTCGTTCTTCCACTCTTCTTACCTATGCCGATACGCGCGCGCGCGCTCACCTATGCTCCACGTCCTTAACCCCTTAACCCCTCCATCCTGTCTTGCTCAACCATTGCCCACCCGCACTTCTATCTCTACCATTTTCCTTTTATTCAACTTCTCATCCCTTTTCTCTTCTTTTTCTTCTCTCTTTTTTCGAATACCAATTTTTCCCTTTTAATCTATTCCATTCTCCATTCTCTTTGCATTTTCCTCTTTGCATTTAGCTTGGAATATAATAAAAATGAATTAGAAAATGATTATTCTTTCCTCCTCCTTCCATGATATTTTTACCATTTTTTCTTTTAGTTACATATGTTTACGTCCATTCTTATGCTTTGTTCTTCTTCTCCCGTGCTCTTCTCTCTTCTCTTTTTTCCTACATCGTTCGTAAATTTCCCCTCTTTTACTCCCTCTCATTCTCTTGTGTTTTCTCTCGGCCCCTCTGCCGATGCACATACCTTCCCCTCTCTCGAACAGACCGATAATTTTAGATTCTCGGCGCAGTGGCTCGACATTGCTACTGCTCAGCCTGCGCCGCGCACTCGAATATCGACATTCGACATCCGCGAGAACCGCGAGCATATACGACCTCACCGAAACCCCGAGGGAGAGTTGCTACCTACGGTAGAGAGGGGATATCGAATGCACTAGATAACCTTCTCCTTGTATTCCTGCTGTCTTGTCTCTTTTCTCCCTTGTTTCCCTATTGTTCGTTATTTTTTTAGTGCTTCTTTCTTACATTCCAATCTTGATTTCTTACTACATGTCGCTTCTAGCGTGCCAGAATGTTGCAATCCTATTTCTATCTTTCAACTTTTATCTTTATATATTTATTCATTTTATGTGCATACATATATACTTACATACATATCAACATATAATATTATAACAGTCAATATATTTCAAATATAACAATTTAACGTGTTTCCAATCTTTTCATAACTAAAACTCGTCACTGTATTGATCGTTTTGTATTATAAAAAAAAGATAATTTTCATTTCGAGGATTCATATTTTAATCTTTAATCTTAAATCGTGTCGTAAATTGAAATCAAATTAAATTATATAAAATTCAAAATAGATAATTTAAAGCCAAATATTTCAATGCTCGAATAATTATAGATTCCTATAGCAATAATTTGATCCTAAACTGATCAATCCGGAAAAATTTTAATTCGAGTTTTAATGCGTGAGTCAATAATATCTCCATTAGCTATTTTTAATAACTAGATCATGCATGAACTTCTCACGTATGGACAAAACGTTTCTTATAAATTTGATAACTTTTTATAACATATTACTTTTTCATAATGTGCTATTATAAACTTGATATATTAAATAGACGTTTTCCTTCTTTTCTTTGATTTAACTTTAATTTTAACGATTGACAAAAAAGATTGAAAAAAAAACTTTTAATTTTAATTTAAATAATATTCAAATGATATAAAAGAACTTTTAATCATTTGATTAATAATATTTTATTTTTATTTTAATACATAAATACATATTTTCTTTTAATTTATATCTTTTATAGGATCTTTTGAATTTCGTAGAGGGCGTTAATGTTGTCAGTCATACCAACCTTAACAATTTGATCTTTTCGTATGATCGATTTAATTAAACGTTCCAACGTTCCATTATTTAAAAGATTTTAAAGTGATTTTTTTCTTATTTTTTTTTGTAATAAAATTTTGATTTGTGAATTATAATGAAATTATCAAAATTCTATTGGATGATATTCATCACATGTTACTTGTCATTTAGTATGTTATATGAATAATGGTTTATCGAATGTTTGTTTATTTATAAATATTTTTAGGCCACGCCCTCGAATGCTATGTATGTACCGATCAAGAAGGTAATAGAGAAAAATGTTTAAAAAGTACAAAAACTTGCGAACAACATCAAGATACTTGTTTGACGGAAATTAAATGGGGAAGTAAGTAAAGGAACTAGTATAAAATTTTCATATGCCTTAATGATTTTTGAGGTTATGTTTATACGTAATGAACAATGATTTATTAAAATAAATTATTCATATAAAAACGAAAAATCTGCATTCTTAGCATGATATTATTATTGTAAATAAATAAATTTTATAGGTACACCATACTGGTCACAAGGAGCAAAAAAACAATATTACGTATCAAAAAGATGTGCTACAAAAAAAGAATGTGAACGAATAAAACGTGCTAATATGGATGATTGCACATATATTTGGTATCAAGATTGGAAATGTTCTGACTGCTGTCAAGGAGATAAGTGCAATTATTATGTGATTTCCATGGCGGAAAAATTACATGCTTATGGGTTGACCGTTATCGTTGCATTGATATTTTTGCATTTATGGCAAAGGTAATCGATCTATTTGCGATTCATTAGCCATTATTGGCTATTTCTACTCGCCTGTATTTTTCTCCATAATTATTCGATTCAATCATTTTATCATTATGAAGGCTTGAATTCATGAGTTACGGTCTGATTTTGGAAAATTATATTTAATCGAAAATGATAAATTGTAACTTGAAATGTAATAATTATTTCAAGTAATTTATATTTAAAAATAATTTACAATTTAGAAATAATTTACAATAATTTATACAAATTTTATTCAATTTTATTTTATAATATTTTATATATTTTATATATAATTATATATTTTAGTAATATTATTTTATATTATTCGAATAACAAATTTCAATTTAAAATATTCAATTTAAATATTTATAAGTTAATTTAAAAGTATTTTCAAATAGGTATAAAAGATTAGTTTAATTATGCCTATTACATATATCCGTCCAATAAAATATCGTTTGAGCATATTTTAGCGAAAAAAAAATATATTATTTGATATTTTATATTTGTGAATAAAATTGTTTGAAATATATGCAATACGTTTTTTGTTAACATTTTTCCTCCTTATTTTCTTTTTATTACTCTTTCTAATCCAGTGAATCGTCGTTTTGATAAACGTAACGTGAGAAATTAAATAATCATATCTTTTTGTAACGTATTATATATCACATTGTGTAGAGAATATCCGATACTTAGTATAGATAAGCGGAGTGGAGAATAATTATTTACAATGAATTCATACTAATCAACACAGAATAAGTTTAAAGTGTTAAAACCAGTATCATTTTCTGAACGATATCTTTGATAATTATTTTTTGACGTACGATATTCACGTAAGTACAATATATTTATTTTTTCTAAAAATATGATAGACTCGAAATTATCAAAATATGTTAATTTCTAATAAAAATATATTCTCAAATTAGTATTCAGTATCGTTCATTGTTCATTTCATAATATCGATTATATCGATGCGGGACGTTAAAACTTTGCGGATAATTTTATTATTTATTTGTGAAAAGCTTGTTTGATCATCAATAAAAGAGAAATTATATCTAATAAATAATATGTATATTCAAGTTACATGAATGTGAATAATTTTCATAAATGAGTATATAAAATGATATAATTAAAAATAACGATAAAATATGAAAAGAATAAAATCAGAAGAAGGAAAAATATTTGATATATGAAACCAAAAAAAAAAAACACTTCTTTTTACACTATCTAAACTTATCAGTAAAATCAACAAAATAATAATAGAATGATCAGATTGTATCAGTTATAATGTTAAGATCAATATTATGAGCAGATGGCTGATATTGATGAGATTGAACAATTTTAATCTATTCAATTGCGGTGAAGCAATTCCGACCAATTGAATGATTCTGTTTTGCTCGCACCACGACCGATCTTTGAGCTCGATTTAAAAATATTTTAATTAACGCTTCTTTAGTCACAAATCGAATGTTCTCTATCGAGCCGGTAGTCCATCGTTCATTCGCAGTATAGTCTTTTATGATCTATAGACAAAAATTGATTTGATTGTATTTTAAATGATAAGAAAATTAAAAAGGTATAGAAACGATATCTTCGATTAAATAGTCCGTTCATATCATCGATTGGCAAAGTCTTTGAACAGTTTTCATTCTTCTCCTTCTTATACAAACTTACGTAAAAATTCTGACGTCTATCACTTGGATATTAACACTTGTTACTTTCAGTTGTATAAAATGAAGATCTGGAAATTAAAAACTTTGTACAAGATGTTTAGTCGGAAGAAAGAGGTGGATTATTCTCAGGATACAAGATTGGCAAGATGTCTGTCGACATTGGATCTCACGGCTCTCGGAATAGGTTCGACTCTTGGCGTGGGTGTGTACGTTCTCGCAGGCTCTGTTTCAAAAACAATCGCAGGCCCTGCCGTAATAGTTTCGTTTGCCATTGCCGCGATTGCATCCATGTTTGCAGGTATATAATTCAAATTTGACTCGTCGCTATTTCATCGATTTTATCTTCTTTTGCTAGATCGATAAAGAAGAAAATTTAATTCGAATTTTTTTCCAACCTAGGTCTGTGTTATGCGGAATTCGGTGCAAGAGTACCACGTGCGGGATCAGCGTATATATACAGTTATGTAACAATGGGAGAATTTACAGCTTTTCTGATCGGTTGGACGTTAATTCTCGAATACGTAATTGGCTCGGCTAGCGTAGTGCGAGGACTGAGCACTTACGTAGACGCTTTGTTCAATAATACTATGAGAAACGCGTTCGAAACAGCGGCACATATCGACATCGATCACCTTTCTTCTTATCCGGATTTCTTTGCCTTTGGAGTAACCCTAATCTTTTCCGGTATGAAATTATCGAGAAAATTAATTATCGTACGTTAAAAACAGAGAGAAATTTTTAATACTATACACTTCGCTTTTAATTTTATTCATTAATTAAAATATCTATTGTCCCGGATAGCTGCGTTGGCGTTCGGTGCAAAGGAATCTTCGGTAGCGAATAATTTCTTTACGCTTACAAATCTTTCCGTAGTTTTATTCGTCATAATCGCTGGATCTCTTAAAGGTAATATTTCGCTTATAATTCATACCTGAAATAAGAAATATTTTTGTATATATATATATATATATATTTGGGACATGAAGCCAACATAAATAATTGGAAAACGAAGCCAACGTGTACGGCAGAAAATTGCAAATATGGTAGTGGAGGATTCATGCCTTACGGTATAGCGGGTGTTATAAGCGGAGCGGCAACCTGCTTTTATGGATTCATCGGTTTCGATTGTGTCGCGACTACAGGGGAGGAGGCGAAAGATCCACAAAAATCGATTCCAATAGCAATCGTTGCATCATTGACTGTCGTCTTTCTTGCGTATTTCGGTGTATCCACAGTATTGACTACTGTCCTTCCCTATTACGAGCAGAATGAGGATGCCCCGTTTCCGGAATTATTCGATCACATCGGTTGGAATTGGGCGAAATGGCTGGTAACGATAGGTGCCATTTGCGGTCTATGTTCAAGGTAAAATTCGATTATGCGTTTCTATACGTGCACACGTATATATATATGTGTGTGTAAGTACAGAAATATTCTCGATTAATTTTTTTTTTTAATCTATGGAAATCGTTTATTCGTACAGTTTATTAGGGGCGATGTTCCCATTACCACGAATTATTTATGCGATGGCATCCGACGGATTGATATTCGAATGGATGGGAAAGGTCAGTTCACGATTCCATACACCTTTGATGGGTACATTCTCGGCAGGAATTCTTACAGGTTCGTATTTTTTTTTTTTTTTTT